CTGTAATCCTGTACCTTCTGAGAGGATTGGTGAGAGCCCTTCTCCTCATCAAAATTCAGGCTCTCCAAGTATATCCTGAATACAAGAGCTCTGGTTCAGAGATGAGAGGCCTTTTCACATCAAGAATTGTGTTTTTTAGAAGCATCTGTGGGTAGCATTCTGTGCACTCACCTCCCAGAGACAGCGACTAAATCTTGCTTGAAGAAAACATTACATTATCACTTAGTTCTTCAGACCTAACCAGACCCATATGATTATACCTAGGAACTTCAAAACTGCCACAGGACTTAGACAAAATTATAAGTTAAATTCATGTCTTCAACCTCAAAAAATGTACTTCTTCAAGGGTACCAAATTGCCCTTATTTATTTCCATGCATATTGGCAATAGGTAGTGCCAGTGATGGAAGAATCTTTAGTCTTAGTCCATTATTTACCAGCTTTCTATATAAGAATTCAAGATACCTTGGCCTATACTAACATCTTACCAATATAATTTTCACATGAGTTTTTTACTTTTGATTACCTGTTTGGAAGGATTAGATAAGTAGATGTTTTCCAAAAACTTTTTTCTCTTTTATTCTTTCATATGCAGAATAAAGTGCCATTGCGATTCTGAGGTAGGATGGCTGTCTAGTTGACCAAAAACATAATAGGAAAAAGTAGAGAGAATAGGGGAAAACGAACATTTCTGAAATTTGGAGTAGTGAGGGAGATAAGATGGGTTGGTTTGGTCAGAAAAGGCTTCAGAAAGGACATGGAATTTGGGCCTTGAAGATTAGATAGGATCTGGATTGTCAGCAAGGAATGAAGAAGCAGAAGGTATAAGGAAAGTTACAGGTTGTAGTGTACAAGACCCCAAGCTAAGTGAAGAGGACATGAAGAAGGTAGCCTGGCTCCAGTAGAAAGTTCGGGGACTATATGGGCACTCACTGGAGTCAGAGGCCTCATCATCTTTATTTCAGTATTCTCTGCAACTTTTGCAAAATAAGGATGCATATAGAAAATGATTGTTAGATTATTTAAAATTGTGCAACTAACATTGGTTGAATGCTAATTATGTGCCGATGATTTACAGGGTTAGTAACAGTTAAGAGTTATAACCACTTTGTGAGCTGTAAACATTAAATAACCTCATTTTATAGATGAGGAAACTTAAGCTCAAAGAAACCCAAAGTCACACATCTATCAAGTGACAGATCCTGGCTCAAAAGTTCAAACTCTTAATCACTATATTACCCAGTATCTCTCTTTGTTCCTGTTTACCTTTCAGTTTATAGATCTTTTAAGGACCACTTGAAAGTAAATTATTTTAGTTCCTGTACCTTTTTCACCAGAAAGAGAAGCTGGGAAAATATGGATAGAGCTCTAGCATGGAAAGCATTTCCCACCTCTGCCACTAAGTTTAATGCATGATTTTAGAAAGCCACTCCTCTCTGGACCTCTTTAAATTTCATGATCTTTGGGCTATCTTCAGCTGTAATACCACATTTTCATACCACCTAATACTGATGGGACAGATGTCAAGCTCAGTAATCTAGTAACCTCAACCTGATACCTTTCACCAAATGGCTCCTTTACTTTTTCAGAAGGAACACATATAAACTAGAGGCCACTGTATATCTTTCACATTCTAGAACCGAATTTCTTTATATATTCTCTCCATATGCACCTACTTGTTCCCTCTTAACACATCTACCCTAGCATTTTGGCCACATGCCTATAAACAATGTGTTCATACACTCGTCATTTGCCTTTGCATGATTTTTGAAAACATCAAACAGTACACTGGGTTATAGAAGGATACTCCTTTGGGTAGTGAAGCATTTTCCAAGTGATTTTTTCCCATGTTTCTAGATAAGAAGAATGTATCCATACTCTCAGCTCCTGGAAAACTTACTTCATGCAGTAATATCATGTATGTTCATTTTACTGCTTTACCTTTATTGTCAAACCCTAAGCTCTAAATTGGTGTGTGTTTCTGAAATAAGGCAAGTCTCTAATCAATTAGTTCAATTCATAAAGCATTTCCTGGGGGTACACTTCAAATAAGGTACTGTTGAGGGACATAAAGATAAATAAAAGGTGGTCTCTGCTTTCAAGAGTTTTCAGTTTCAGGGAAAGATAGGAAAAGTGTATGAATCTAACACAAGACTTGATGTGCTCATTGCCATAAAAATGATGCTGGTAATTACATACCAAATATAGGCTTTGCTCTATGTTAAGCACTGTGTGATGCATGTGGTAATTGTGTGATTGTTAGTGATGCTTAAACCTAAGTATATCAGTAAAGGGGAAAGTGCATAGACTGTTCTGGTGAGAGTTTTGAGGATGAGGCAGGACTTAAGCTAGATGTTATTAGGAAGGGAAACATCAGGATACGTGCTAGGAAGAATGAATTAGCATTCCAGGTAACAGTTACAACATGAATGTGGTAAGGACACTGAGAAGACTATCCATTCTGAAGCATAGGGAGGACAGTGTGGGTTGTGGGCTACAGTCTTAGAGAGGTAAGATATGGCCAGATGATAGACGGTTTTGTAGACTTGGTGCAATAGCAAATAGCTATTAAGTTTATGACCTTGAGTGATGTATTGATATAAGGAAAGATTAATTTTAGAAAGATTACTTGGGTGCTACTATGCAGAATAGATTGGAATTTGAAGAGGAAAGAGCTGGAAAGAACAGCAAAAAACTGATCATGTGTTGCAATGGCTTCATGAGTGGCAGTAACACTACAAATGGAGAGGAGTGATCAAAGCCAAGAGACATTTTAAGTATCTGGAAATAGTCCCACTGACTAGAGAGATCTGGGTGTAATTTGTATAGGGATGGCAGTTAAATCCATGGAGGTAAAGAGGAATCAGCAAGGAGAGAATAAAACTAGGGAAAAAAGATAAAATGTAAAACTAGGAATCACCTATGCAGTGTTTACATGCATCCACATGGACAAGGAAATAAATCGGGAAGAGAAAGCCAGAGGGTCAAGAATATAACATTAGACAATGCTCATACTTTGGGGTAGAGTATCCCAAAAATACTATGAATGAAAGAGTATTTCCTCTTTTTTATAGATGACAAAGCTGAAGCTGGGAAGGTAATGAGACCTATATAAAGTCATAAAGCAGTGGTGACTCAACCTAGGTTTTCCCAGACTCCATTGTGTCATTTTCTCTGCTCTTCCCAATTTCTGAGAACCAATGGCTAGAAAGAAGTGTATATATACTGCAACAGTCACTTCACATAGTTTTGAGGAATTACGTGAGAACCTAGAATTTTAAAGTAAAGATCTAGGAAGAGACAGAAAGAGAGCTAGAGCTCAACCAGCATGCACTAAGACTAAAATAACGTCATTCTTGGTTCAAGTAGACATATATTGAATAAGTTAAATCACTACTACATAGGCAGCAAGAGTAGGTGGAGTTGGGGGAAGCAGTATGTGTACAGATTGTAGGAGGTGAAGGTGAATTGATTTCCTAAATTCTGTGTTTGTCTTTTATTACCCAGAGCCTGATTTTTTGAGATATCTTCCTTTTTCAATTTAGTCCTCACCCAATGAGCTACCTTTGCAGACTTAGCTTAAGCTCACCCTGGGAGTGAAACCACAAAGTTGATAATTGGGTTTTCAGCTCAAGCCTCAGTGTCTACAATAGCATGATTTTAATTCAAATAATTGCTTGGAGGAAAAATTTTCTATGCCAAATAAGAGTGTAAGTTGCAGTAAAAAAAAAAAAAAGGTAAAAGCATCCTAAAAGCATAATCCCAACAGCCAACTTTTGTAAAGGTTCATCACCAAACCACACCTAAAAATTCTGAAATAGCCAACCATAATCAAGGAATGAACATTGATTGAAAGAACTAACATCACTTCTTTGGAACAGTAAGGCAAGGAAATTCATTGCATTTTCAGAATCATTTCCAGGATTTTTCAGTTGTCTTCTTTGTAGAAATGTTGGGTAGGCAAGATTAGATATATCCTTAAGCACTTGCAACCTCTTTTTCTCTTCATTTGACAAACATAAGTTATCTTCTGTATATCTTTCACTGAAGACATGGGCCAATACATTTGCTTTCTGCCCAGACTTAAGGGGAAGAATACCCTAAGGCTAGGATTCCAGACAAGACAGAATGTTGTGCCTACCATGGGGTCATGTTTCCAAAGACAGACATTCTCAGAGCCACTTTTAATTTTTCACTTTTTCTGGAAAAAATAAACTTGGTGTCTAGAATCTGCCTGTTTAACTCAGTGGCATGAGAGCTTGCCAGCCTTCTGTGGCAAGGATAAATCACCATGACTGGCTGGCCTCTGTCTTTGGGAATCTAAATTTCACACTTATGAAAGAACACTGAAAGGCACATAAAAGACACTACATTGTGCAAAAATTGTAGAGGATGGCCACTGTCAACTTTTTTAAAATCTCAAAATGCCAAGTATATTACTATGCTGTGAGTATGAGAAAAGTGATTACCTGTACATTAAGCAAGCTGATTCAGAGTGTTCTCTCCCAAAAAACTGGAGGTCAGAAACAAAAACATTTGTACCATAAATGTCGCTTGCTAATCCCAAAGCCTCTTATTTTCTAGACACCGAATTCCTTTTTTAGAAATACACCATCACCTAATGTACTCTAATAGCTATCTCAATTATGTCCAGTGGAATAACAGCAAAACAGGGTGATTTTGTAGCAAGATGCAAAACGTTCCATTAAAGTCAGATTATGTTGCTCTATCATCATAGCTGTTTGAGTCAAATACCAGCCAGTATTATAGATCGCATAATGCTGATAAATAATCTTAGTTCATAATATAGCAGGCTGACTATTCTTAGAATGTGAATGTCTGTTCTGGTTACAAATGCTTCTGTGTTACACATCAGTCTTAGAGGTTTGCAGATATCTGTTGTCTGCAGAGATTGGACAAGAAGGAAAACTACCAATGAATGAATATCCATCCATATAAGGGACGGGGGCATTTGATCATCTTCATGTTCCAATCTTGCAGATTATCCAGAAGGCTCATCATCTCTTGCTGTGGAAACGGAAACATAGCAGTTTTCAGATTTCCTGCATTTCTCAGAAAGGTCAGTATTCTGAGGGAGATATATACAGTGGCACCTGGACTGCTAATGAGCAGCCTTGGAAAAATAACTAAAAAAGAAAAAGTTCTCATCCTGAGTGAGAAAGATTTTAAATTCTTCACTCTTGTGATGCATGCATAAGCAGAATTTCTATGCATAATTTCCCCGGCCAGTGTACTTAAAAAAATGACCTTATTCCCTGCAAACTCACACTTATGTCACTTGTGCTAAAAGAATTCAGGGATCCCGAGACACCCAAACATTCCATTAAGGTTATTTACTTACATACTGTGAATTATAAGCTTCCTCCTGGTGCATTCCAGGTCTGTGAAATGGTACAGATTATAAATAGGTTTATTTCACGGACTCCATTATGTCAGTTAATAACTTACTCTTACCCACTAAGGGCAAAAAAGCACCCTTCCTACACTCTAACCCTCCTAAAATACTATGAACTTGTTAAGCAGTGGCAGACAACTTTACAAATGGGATTCTCTTCGGCCTGGTGAAAAGCTCAACGACCTTCTTTTTGCAACACTCACAGATATAAACCCAGTGTAATTAAGTATTAAAATAATTTTAGTAATAGAAATACCATGGAGCTTGTAGCTCTGATCTGATTACGCTTCTAATCCTATTCTCATGAAAAAAGCTAGCAATTATTCAGAACCTTATCACTTTGTTCATGGGTTCTCAGATCTTCATTTCTTTTCCTTACAGAAATTCTGCTGTGTACAAGTGTAGATATTGTATAAAACCTTGTATATGCCAGCCACTTTGGTATGTACTTGATATACATGATCTTATTTAATCCTCATATCAACTGTAAGATTAATGTTACTATTCCCATTTTACTTATGAGAAAACTGATGTGTAGAGACATTAAATCACTTATCCAAGGATGCATAGGTAGGAAGCTGCCAAACTAGGGTTGTAACTCACATCAATCTGACCTCAAAGTATGCTATTTCCACAATGGCACTACATGTCAAAGTCTGACTTGAGTTATTTACGATGTGTCTTTATGTATTATCAAAAATCAAAAGAGGAGAGGATTAAAACTGTTTCCTTATCCATAGCCCTGACAAAATGCTTGATGTTTAATAAGACAACTTGTATGATAGTAGTATCTAGATTTGGGTTATCTGTGTTGCTAATATGTCCATTTTATTTTAGTATTTTCCTAAGGGAAACACTACTACTTTGGCATGTTAATAGATGCTGGAGAGGGTGAGGAGAAATAGGAATGCTTTTAAACTCTTGGTGGGACTGTAAATTTGTTCAGCCATTGTGGAAGAGAGTGTGGCAATTCCTCAAGGATCTAGAACTAAAAATACCATTTGACCCAGCAATCACATTACTGGGTATATACCCAAAAGATTCTAAATTATTCTATTATAAAGACACATGCACACGTATGTTTATTGTGGCACTGTTCACAATAGCAAAGACTTGGAACCAACCCAAATGCCCATCAATGATAGACTGGATAAAGAAAATGTGGCACATATACACCATGGAATACTATGCAGCCATAAAAAAGGATGAGTTCATGTCTTTTTCAGAGACATGGATAAAGCTGGAAACCATCATTCTCAGCAACCACCACATGTTCTCACTCATAAGTGGGTGTTGAACACATGGACACAGAGAGGAGAACATCGCACACTGGGGCCTGTCACAGGATTTGGGGCCAGGGGAGGAATAGCAGGGGGTGGGGAATAGGAGAGGGATAGCATTAGGAGAAATACCTAATGTAGATGATAGGATGATGGATGCAGCAAACCACCATGGCATGTGTATACCTAGGTAGCAAACCTGCACATTCTGCACATGTACCTCAGAACTTAAAGTATGATAAAAAAAAAAACAACAGATGTTAAAGGGAAATAATTATCTGGTGAATAAATTTAGAAAACTATAAGCAAAATTAGAAAGTTGACTTTAGTGTAGGAATTCTCAGAGATTTTACTACACTAATGAGTTTTCTGACTCAATAAAAGGAGGTTGTGGTGGCCCCTTAAACTTTATTTAACTGTTGGATTATTTCTTTTTGGCATATCATGGCACCTAGTATTTAGTGTGATACTTGTCAGGACCTTTAATATGCTAAGGAACGTTGAAATACATTTTTATATACTTCCCTTGATAAGCAAAATTGCCTTCAAGCAATGCCTTTTACAGGGCACTCTGTCCAAATATATCAATAGAGTGATTCATTTTGTGGAAATAAGTAACTTGTGTGTGTCTCACTCTTTTGCCCAGATTGGAGTGCAGTGGTGCAACCTCAGCTTACTACAACCTCCACCTCCCTGATTCAAGCAATTCTTCTTCCTCAGCCACCCGAGTGGCTGGGATTACAGATGTGTGCTACCATTCCGGCTACTTTTTGTATTTTTGGTAGAGATGCTGTTTCTCCCTGTTGGTGAGGCTGGTGTCTAACTTCTGACCTCAAGTGATCTGCCCACCTTGGCCTCCCAAAGTGCTGGGATTAGCCACTCTGCCAGGCTTCGTATTCTGATAATAATAGAAAAGTACTTAGGAACACAGGAGAGAAGAGTGGGAGAAGCATTTTTAAACTTATTAAGATATGAAGAATTTTTTTAACTATTTAGATAATTACTACAGTGATATTTGTAAAAAGCTCCAAACTGAAAACAACCTGAATGTCCATCAGTAGAAGAATGCATGAATAAATTATATATGTCCAAATTATCAGATATTTAATATATATTTCTCTTCATTTTCATTTGAAATTTTTTAAATAAAAAGAACAAAAGATAAAATGAATCCCCATGTGTCTAAAACTTGGAATTCGTGATGCTATTTATTCCATTTTCCCTCAAAATGTTGTATATAAAAAATTATTTCCATATTTTACCCAAAGAAATGCACTTATTCTAGATTATATTTCTTCAAAATGAAAAGACAAGCTTGAAAAATATTTGCAAACTATACCACATGCAAAATTTAATATGCTTAATTTACAAAGCTCTTGCAAATCTGTAAACAAAAGAAAAATACAACAGTTAGAAAATGGGCCAGAGCAACAAAAGCAAGCAGTGAGGAAAGAACTCTCCATTCAATCAATGGTGCTGGGATAACTGGCTAGCCATATGAAGAAAACTGAAACTGGACACTTAACTTTCTTCATATGCAAACAACTCAAGATGGATTAAAGACTCAAATGTTAAGACTTCAAACTATAAACATCCTAGGATAAAACCTAGGAAATACTCTTATCAACATTGCCTTGACAAATAATTTTTGGCCAAGTCCCCAAAAGCAATTGCAACAGAAACAAAATTGACAAGTGGTACCTAATTAAACTAAAGAGCTTCTGCACAGCATAAGAAATTATCAGTAGCATAAACAATCTACCAAATAGGAGAAAATATTTGCAAACTGCATCTGACAAAAGTCTAATATCCAGAATCTGTAAAGAACTTAACAAGCAAAAAACAACCCCATTAAAAATGGCCAAAGGACATAATGAACAGACGTTTCTCAAATGAAGACATACATGCAGCCAACACACATATGAAAAAAATGCTTATCATCAGTAATCATCGGAGAAATGCAAATCCAAACCACAATGAGGTGTACTATCTCACACCAGTCAGAATGGCTATTATTCAAAGTCAAAAACAACAGATGCTGTTGAAGCTCCAGAGAAAAGTGTATGCTTATACACTGTTGATGGGAATGTAAATTAATCCAGCCACTGTGGAAAGCAGTTTCAAGATTTCTCCAAAAAACACTTAAAACAGAACTCCCATGCGACCCAGCAATCCCATTACTAGGTGTATACCCAAGGAAAATAAATCCTTCTAACCAAAAGGCTTATGTACATATATGTTCATCACAGCACTATTCACAACAGTGAAGACATGGAATCAACTTAGGTGTCCATCAGCAGAGGATTGGACAAAGAAAATGTGGTACATATACACTATGGATACTACACAGCCATAAAAAAAATAATGAAATCTTATCCTTTCAGCAACATGGATGCAGCTGGAGGCCATAACCCTAAGAAAATTAACACAGAAACAGAAAACCAAAAACTGCATGTTCTCACTTATAAGTGGGAGTTAAACACTGAGTACACATGGAAATAAGGATGGCAGCAATAGACACTGAAGACTACTAGTTGGAAAAAAGAAGGAGGGGGTGATTTGAAAAACTACCTATTGGATACTATGCTCACTACCTAGATGATGGGATCTATACTCCAAATCTCAGCATCACACAATATACCTATCTAATGAACTTGCACATCTATCCCCTGAATCTAAAATAAAAGATGAACTTATTTTAAAAACATTTTAAAGAAAATGGGCAAAGGATACAATCAACAAAATAAAAATGAAAATGAAAAATAAACATTAAACTTGCTCAACTTCACTGTAAAGAATTTAAAATTAAAATAACCTAAAATACTAATTTTTGTCTGTTAATTGAGCCAACTTTTACAAATTGCAGTACCTATTGTTGGCAAAAACATGTTGAAACAGATTTTCTTATATAATGCTGATGTAAGTTTAAATTCTTAAGTCATCTTTCGAGTGCAACTCGGAAAATGTATAAAAACCATTAAAATCTCGTACTTTTTTAATTCAAAGAAACTTGTAGTACTTTAATTTATTGTTCTGTACTTTTTGTGCGTTTATAGTACAATAAACTATATGCTTTTATAATATACAATCTGCTGAGTTTTAAAATATGTTTTCATCGGTGACACCATCACTACAATCGAAATAATGAATATATCCATCTCTCCAAAAGTTTTCTTCTTCCCCTTTATAAATAAAACCTGCCCCATCACCAGGAAACCACTGATTTATTTTTTTTTTATTTTTTGGGGGGGTATAGACAGTCTTTATTAGTAATATAAAAGCAGCAAATTTACAGTTAGTTAATAATTTTTTGCATTTATAAATAATTTTTTGCATTTGTAAATTAATGTTTAAAAGAGTTCTACCAGCTTGTAACCATCCTTG